GATAAAAGAAAGTACAAACGGGATTGAGATAAAAGTGCAGAGATTTGAACTCTCAGCAAAATACCTGTCCGTAAACTTATTTACATGGCGCAGCCACCACGGTGAAATCATACTATAGAATAGAATATCGGTTTTCAAATTTCGACAGTAGTATCGCACTATATTCTCACTGAGTTTTCCACTGATAAATACTTCAGGGATAAAATTAAATAATTTATACAGATGACCATCTGCCAATAATATAAATTCAAACCTGCGACAGCAGTATGTCACGCTGACTTAGCGACCTCACACATTCATCACAGTGGAATCTGTCACAAGTCTGACAACGGCATCCCCTTTGACTGACAGAGAGTTTTCCGTTGATATATTACGTTATGGAATAAAATAGAAAGTTAACGCAGATGACCACTGTGCAGTTACACTGTTTCAAAGCGACAACCATAGCATCGAGCGATGACAGCAGCAACAGGTCTGTACCCAAAAGCGTGCGCTAGAAATGTGCCATTCCGGTTTACTTATTATTTAGATATTTATTTTTCATGAACATCAATGTTATTGTGAGGTCATTTTTAGTACAAGGATAGCACTCTTCTCGTTTTTATAAATATCGTTGGATATGCTGCTTTTCGCTAAAATTTCTATGACTTTCATAAGGAAGTCCGCTATAACTACTCGCCACCAGTGTGTGAGATTTTCTCACTCAATTAAGATGGCAGTACAGCCAGTTAAGCTTGCTATTCTTTCTTTTTCATAAGTATTAGTTTGTTAAGTTGTAATTAATTTAGCTTATCAGTTTTCTACCCTTCTACAAAGTATGGAAATACCGATGTTTCCTTTCTGAGCAAAAAAGCCATCGCTAAAGTACTATCTTAAATTTTTATGGCATGATCAGGGTTTTATTTTTTAAATTAAGTTTTGGTCTACGGTTGATTTACTCACATTTCTGATGGCCTTTACTTACAAAGACGTTGTAGCAATGGCATTTGAATTTTTCTCTGCGGATAACTTTGTTGTCACGGTTGACTGCAACGCATGTTACTCACCTTGTAGTTCATTTAAATGTTCATCCTCTTATCTTGAGCAAGATTGTTGTCCAAGAATTCACGCCTTTCCCAGTTGACTTCGTAAGAACACTGCTTGATACATGAAATAGTTTTTGACTTGTTATGTAAATCCCTGTGACAGAGCGATGATCAATATCAACTGACCACCGAACTGTGGTTTTTTCTTCTGCTGAAATGCTAACTTTGATTTTAGTGTTTTTAGCAAAGTCAGTTTCAGCAGTTTCATGGAACTGGTTTTGTGAATATGGTCCTACATTATCTGAAACCACCTATGGTTGCGATTTGTTTCTGGTCAATGGGATCGGCAGTAATTTTTGATTTTCAGCAAGGCTAAGTACAGCCGCTGTTAAGTCTGGTGCATGGCAAAGCGTAGCCCTGGTGTACTCAGTTATTGACGGAGAGAACCCGTCAGCAAACAGACCAGTACCTCTTACTGATACTGCAGGTTGTTGTTTTTTTGTACAGTTATTTTAGCGGTAAGGTGACATGGACAGAAATTCTGTTCAGCAACTTTTCGAATATTCTGCTGTAAACAGTAAAAATGATATGTAACTTTATTTATTTCCTTGCGCTTTCAAACG